TCATCAAACTTTGAACGAAGGTGTTATACAGTTTCTTATACTGATTTTATTAACTAATAAATAATGACATATATTCAAGTCGATCAAATTCAACCTACTCTGCTTGAAAGATTGAAAAGCCGCTAGCAGTTCGATATTTCATAAATGACGTCTCCTTTCTTCCAAAATTTTGGACGACTTCTATCATTATCTGCTCGAAAAATGTAGTGTTTTCAGAAAAAAGCGGAAAATCTTTTTCATTTTTCTCTTTGCTTATGATTTTCTAAGCGCACATCCTAGAGATCTCGAAGGGATTTCATTGTAGTCAATTACTTTTTTTTTGCTGTAATAGAGTATGTCAAGATGCATAACATAACAGAACCGCTTTTTTTGAATTAAGCATTGTTTCTCATACATAAAAGAGCACTTGTATAATTTGAGCGCCGTGTTTTGAGGGGACATGGGTGTGCTCTCTCCACCCACCCACATCCCTCTCAAATTTTTAATGATTTATCAAGTATATTATTAGATAAAGGTCTTTCTTTTCGTTGTTTTTTATTTATGATTAGACATACACCGAACTTGATGAATCAAGTTCGCTTTCGATTGGAATTATTTTCAGTTAATTAATAAAAAGAAAGTTGAACTAACTAGTCAATTGAAAAGATTTATGAGTGGTTTATGATAGATTTGGACATACTGAAATAAATAATCACTAAACCGAAGGATTGCAGGAATCCTAAAAGAAATCAATGATAGTTCCATGATTGTTCATAGACCTCAAAAAATATTTGCGCAATAACTTGAAAACTCGAAGTTGTATTCTGAACTTTTTCGTAAAACTAAATCCTGTTGAAATGTTCAAGTATCGTCTCATGATAAAGATAATATTACTAACTTAAAATTCGAAGAACTCGGTGTGTGCACGCTAGGAAGATCTCACAGTTTAAATTACTTAGTTTGATAGCGAAAGCATTCGTTTTATGCAAATGTGATAAATCTCAGTACACGATCTTTAATTGTTAGATCTCTTTCATATTCTCCTGTAATATGCATGACTGGTAAAATAGGTTTTTTTTTCCACATTTGCTTTAAAGAATTCGTCATCGGTGTCCGATGAACTGACAAAGCAGTCGTAGTACCGACTGATAATTCTCCTAAATTATCTCCCATGATCTAAAAAACAAAACTCTGATTATTTAAACAAAAAACAAGAAGTGATTTACAATCAACGTTTAATGGAAGTCTTTGATCAACAATTACATCATCACCATCATCATCATATTATTATAAATAAAAGCAAAAATCTAATTAACATTTGATAATAATATTGTATTCGAAATATTTGTCTTTGTTTCTTCAAATTGTTTATCATTATTATCATCTGTACGTTTATGTATTTTTTGTTGAAATGCATGTTGATCCAGAATATTTTTAACATGTTTTCTTAATGAACTTGAATCTGTATAAGATTTACGACAAACTCGAATTTGGCATTTATATGTTTTCTAAAAAAACAAAAGAAAACTTCATTTGTTATTAATTTATTCGAAAACTAAAATTCAAACTTTATTTGAATGTGTTTGTTTAATACATTTTGTTCGATCTGATGAATTGCTAAATTCTTTCGAACAATCAGCATATGCACATGGCTTTGGTTTTTCACCTATTCGACTTCGAATAAGAAAAATTCAAAATTAAAATGAATAAATACTAAAAAGAAATCACCTGAATGTGAACGCTCATGTAAATGTAAATATTCTGCACGTGTAAATGTTTTTGTACAACCACTATGTGAACACTGATATGGTAGATCTTGTGTATGTGCTCGTAAGTAAAGAAATAATGACTACGATGATTTAAATGGTATTCAATTAAGTGTACACGATTGCCATTGACATAACCATGTATGAGAATCAGTTCAATTAATATGAACGGATCGAATATGTTAACAAAAAGAACCAATAGGTAT